TTGAAATTAAGAGAGTTAAACTGTCTTCACAAAAGGCTGTCTGAAGTCTTACTGTAGTCTGTTCCCTTTATCATGCTAAACAGTATGCTTCCTGCTCTATATGCAGTAGTGAGTAATATGAAGAAAGGGCATCCAGTTCATGTACTTACAGACCTACCTGTGCTCTGTCAGGAGTACAAAGGTTATAGGTTATATGTTGTAAAGATGATAGATTGTCAGTGTCCACAAGTCTCCACAAAGAGACTGCTCATGATTCACAGATGACTGTTAAATGTCTAAAATATGACATGCTTAATATAGCTTGTCTTTTGGGGAACAAAAATTTCTTGCATTATTTAATCAGAAGTGCACTAAGCACTGTGTGTATGTCTATGTTTCTTTCCTGTCATTCCTGTCAAATAATTAGACAACTCTATTGCAGCTCCTGTGAAGGAAAGTGCTGATCCCCTTGACCATTTCTCCCTTCTAGCATTCACCTGCAGGTTGGCAAAGCAGACTGCAGTGAAGGATCTTTCTTCCCTGTGGCAACAGTGGAGGTCTGCCAGTAGCACAAGTGAGAATTAGATGGTAGTGCAGTATGTTGAAAACTTACTGAGAAACAAGTTCTAATAAATAGAATGATTTCTTTTGAAAGAAAAACGTATGGGGCTGTATTATATGTGACAGATTTTGGAGAATACTATTCAAAGAGCTCACAGTCATTTAAGTGAAGCTTTCCCTCTGTGTAGCTATATTGCAAATCCTTATCCTGAATTTAGCATGAATTAGTTTGCTTCAATTAACAAAACAATTAGACTAGGGTGGTTATTCATTCAGTTTGATTCAGTTCCTTGAATTGGCAATTATGTGCCTGTGCAGCCAGGTAGTGGCAGGATAAGAACATAGAGCCTATGAGGGTGAAGGTGGTGAGAGTGAACCCTTTTTTGGGAGAAAGGGAGGTTGTACTCTTAGGCAGGGTTGGTTGGTATCAAGGTGATTGTCTTCAGCTTAAAGTAAATACATTCCTGAACAGTGCCAGCTTTGCAATTCGAACACTAAGAGAACCAAAAAACTACCTACCTATTGCTGATAAAAGGTTTAGATGCTAAAAAATTAATCAGTTTTCATTAAATAATCGGGTTTCATAAAACCATTGAAAATCAGATGTATTTTATGTGCACCGTGTCAAGCTTTCACAAGTAGCTCAAGCTTATGCCACACCTGAGAAGTAGATTAGCCTTTCCCTTAACCCAACTGTGTGATCACACTGTTTCCTCATACTGTCACAAGCAAGTGTGACCTTGGGGTGGACTGGATCAGTTCTGGGTTAAAGTTAAACCAGGAGGATAGTGAAAAGTTTACTTTTGGCTTGGAACAGTATTTGGTTGTTTTGCTGGATGGGCTCTTCATTCAGATTAGGAGAGAGGCTCAGACTGTCTCACCACCAAAATGCTTCCACTGTGCAACTGCAAGGCAAGTCAAAGCACAGTAGCTGCCTAACCTAAGCAGCAGGGAGCAAGCTTCCACCCATGACCATAGGAATGGCTCTGCTCACTCTGGCTCATGGTAGATCCAGCTCTACCAGAGAAATCTTCTCACCTGTTCCTCTGGAGGTCAAGCAAGGCATCAAGGGACATGTCAAGAAAACAGCAGGACTGCTGCCCAAGGCACCTGGCCAACATACCAGATGCACAGAAGATGTGGCCAGCACCACTTGTGTGCTGCACTTTGGAGCATAGTTGAAGTGTGCTCTGAAGTTCAGGGGAAAAAAAAAAGAGACAAAGGCCGGGGCAGCTAAAGTCCTTGCCAGCTGTCAAGAAAGCTGCTGCTGAGCAGGTCTGTCTGACTAGAGAACATGTGTAAGAGCAACAGAAAGAAGGTAGAGGCAGATACTCAGGTAGGAGTAAAACCAACACAGCCAAGAATCACATTCCCCATCACTGTGTCTCAAAATCCTACTGCCTTCAGCATTAGAATTTCCCTAAGGCTAATTTGTCTGGCCTCATTTGAGTGTCATGTTTTCAACCTCACCTTATTCACTTTGAATCAGAACCCACAGTCTTCACTGGATGGCCCCTCATTCCCAAAGGAGAAGATAATGTGAAAAAGTCCCTAACTGTCTTGTCCATCCACTTGAAATTTTGTAAGCCAGTATCACGTTCCCTGTTAGGTACTTTGCGCATTAAGATATCATAGCAAGTTCCTTCCCAGTCAGCCACTCAGCAAGTCTTGTTTCCTTTCTCTGAGACCTTCCCATTTCCATACACAGTCTCCAAATGACACATAGTATTTGAGCTGTGGATGGCACAGTGATGATTTCTGTTTTGCACTGTGTTGCTTCCCCAATAGCCCTTACTATTCAATGTTAGTTTTATTATTTTCCTCTTCTTTAGCATGAGCTGGTAATTTCATGTAGCTGCCTGTAATTACATCTCTCTCTTGACTGGTTACAGTCATTTCACAAGCCATTGTTCTGTATGCCAGTTAAAATGTTAGCAACAAACTTTTGTTCCTCACTGCTTTATCCTCTTCAGACCATTTATAAACATGCAGAACAGTACAGGTCTGTCACCACACTGGTGAGTTACTGGCATAGTGAAGAATGACTGTTTTTCTGCTACAGTGTATTTATTTCTTTGCAATTACTTGCTCTAAAACAACTTTCCGTCTTATTCCATGGCTGACTACTTTGTTTGAAAGTCTTTGATCAGAAATTTTGCCAAAAAATCTTTTGGAAATCTAAGTAGACTGGATATGCTGGATCACCCTTATCTTCACTTGTACTTGCCTTCTGTTCCAAGAACTCCATAAAGTTTTTAGGTCCAGAATTCTCTTAACAAAAACAGTGGTGACTTTTACCATAAAGATCAAGAAATTCCATAGTGATGTCCCTTCTTAGACTCTTCACTGTCTGCTCAGCACACATATTGAGCTCATGGAACTGTATTTTCCTTTACATGTCAGAACCTTTTATTGATTGCAACATTGGCTCCCAGTAGTCAGGCATAATTCTGGCAAGAGATAGCACACTTCAATCAGTAATTCAACTATTTTGTCTAAGTTTTTGATAACTTCTCAATGATTACCACCTGTGCTCACCAAGTTAAGCATTCATTTTGTCTGACTGTGGGATGACAACTGAAGATATTTAGCACATTATTTTGTAACTGCCCTGGGAATCAGCAGCATAATGCCTACCTACAATAACAGCTCTTTGGGACCTAAGTTTCATTACAGATGTATTTGATCTGTCATAGGCTCTTTGAACACGGTTAATAAACAGCATCACTCTTAAATATGGCATAAGCACGGTAGTCATCATCATTTTGATTCAACAACAGCCAGGAGGGTATGTATTACCTACATGTTTTGTCTCAGGAGTGATAACCTTCTTTAGGTTTGCAGGTAAACATTCTCCAGGCAGTGTTTGCTAGCAGGACCAGTACAACAGGCTGGCTACATAGTCAGCTCTCTGTCATCCAGGCCAAGGGAGGTGGAGACGCTTCAGATAATGGAAAAAAGACTAGAGATTTTGAAGGATGCATGGAATGCTGTGCCGAGATACTGTGACAACCTCTCAATCCTCGAGGACTCACTGATCCAGTGCTAGCTTTTGTGACTTGCACTTTTCTGTCATTGAAGTGTGTCCACAACCAGCTTTCCTGATGGTCTGGCCAGCTCTTTGGAGGTCAGGAAAAGGGAAAAAAAGGCCTGTTTGCGTGAATGTGGAGATAAGTAGGTTCATTATGCTCTCATTAAGTAAATTCTTTATGCTCTGGAGTACATAAAGAACCTGGGATTGCACCTGTGGTACAGTCAGCTCAGTAGTACCAAGGACTGCCTGGTATTTGTGACTAAATCCTGTCAGAATCTCCAGTGTCTGTGCCTCAGTATAGATGCAGCATTCCAAGTGCAGAGATAGCTAGTGTGTCCACTCCCATGTCTCTGGGTACCCTGCTTCCCTGCCACATAGCTGTTGAATGCTATGTGCAGCTAGCGTCAGTGTGATACCCACCAGGATATTGCTTTTTGCCAGAGCATAGGAGTGTCCACAGAAGAGAACAAGCTCAATTTCTGATCACCTGACCCATAGCTAGAGCCCTAATACAGCTGTAACCTAGGGACTGCACCTTCGTGATGGAGCTTGCTACACTTGGTCTCCATGGGATTATTGTGGGTGCTGTAAAGCAGAGTCCTGCTGCCAAAGTTAGGTCTGTATTTGGAGGTCTGCATGTCAGCAACATGGTCTGCAGGTAGCACACATGGACTAAGCCTCAATCCTTTGTTCCAAAAGCATTAGTGATATGCAGTAAAGAGCATGAATGAGCACTTGTACAGTGAAGCAAAGCAACAAAATGTGGGAGGAGAAGAAAAGCTCTATCAGTAGGTCACCTCCAGATATTACAGCTCCCATGACCAAGACATCTCTGATGAAACAATGGGCAGGATGGATGTCTGTGTTTTAAAATAGTTCTAAAAATCAATATATAATAATTTTAAGGCTGGCAGGATTTTAATTGTCAAGTATGCAACAAGTGGTGAGTGCTCTGTCTGAGAACAAACATGACTGGCATGAGTGGATATCTCTGTTGCAGTTATCACCTACATTTGGTTCAGCAACTGCACTCCAGCTTTGTGCCTCACCTTCAAGAAGCAAACTGCTGGGGACAGAGTTCAGTATGTTTGAGTCTGAAGTGCTGTTTATTTGATAATATCCTTTCCCCTCCCTCCCCCAGTTTATAGCATTTACCAGGCTTTTAATGGCCATGTGATCTCTTGGAGAGGAGATTAATACTCATCCACAGTTCATGGTACATATATAGTTCCTGTTGCTTAGTAAGGGCTTTATTCAGGGAAGTCTTGAACATTTGGGCTATGCTGTCTTTCATTATATGGCAGTGTAGCAGTGCAGAACACCATCAGTATTCATGCTTTCTCCACAGAGTCTGAGTTCAGGACATTATGTACTCATAGTGTTGTGGTTTAGCAGCTGGGTCTATGCTTCCCCAGCTGAATGACTGCTGTGGGGACTGCTCTGTCACATAATCCTGTGGACTGCAGCAAGTGGAGAGGTACAGCTCGTTTGGATGGAGCCTGTGTCTGCATATGTAAGCACTCGGGAAAAAGGAGTAATTTAGGTGGGTAAAACAAGGATATGCTGCTTCTTTGGAGAGGCTAACCCACTAAATAAGAGGAAATAAATGAAATAATTAACTTGAAGAACATAAATTAAAATGTGATGGGTAGAAGGAGTTACCTTAATGTACTGAAGAGTGTCCTGTGTCATGCATTTACAAAAGCCAGGCGGATATAAAGAAAACACAAGAAGCAGTCGATGAGCCAAAATGACTGCATTGTCTCGGGAGGGAGCGCCACACTGTGGTGTTCTCTGTATTTAGCTGGCGGTGACTCAGGACTAGCGCATACTTTCAGACTGACACAACACGACCCTTGACCCTTTCATCTTCAAATCCCAGTCTGGCAAACCTGTCTGGCTTTCTGTGAGTAGCTGAGCTGAACAACATGATTTAAAGTGTAAAAGTATCTAGGACAAGTCCCTAGCACTAATTCAGGGCATATTGGAGGCAAGTGGTGCTGTATTCTATTCAAATGAAGTTGCCTGGTTTGGTTTGAAGTCACTAATGTGTCTCCATTAATTTCAGAAGCACAGCTGGAAGTGCTCGGGATGGCTGTGTTATAGTGATATTATTTGTGAGCTGGGGAGAAGAGTGATTTGATGGTGAAATGAAATGCTGAAAGGAAGTTACGGAACTGCTCTGTCATAATTTATGAAGATTGTGTTGTGTATATTAGGCTGGTTGCCTGGAAGCTCCCGGTGTCACTATGACTAAATACGCAGAGTCAAGAATACTACAACAATAGCCAGTAAGGTGATCCTCAGTAAATGCCGGAGTGACTGCCAGACCCTGGGTAAGCAGACAAGGCTGTGGAGCCTTGCAGCACTCCCAGCAAGCATGGCATTTTGGTTAGCAGGGTCAGCAATGGAGATAACAGAGGAAGTCTTTAAAGGTGATGGCTGGTGAACTGCTTGTCAAGGGTCTCTTTGGTCTGATGTCTCTGAAGAATGCAGGTGCCTTTGTTCAGGTTTGCTATTCAAGGATGTAGAGTTCCAGCATCAGCAAAAGTCAGTCCACAGTGAGCTCTGTGTAACCAAATTCTGCAGCTTGAGCCAGGAAGGTGCTGAGGAAGCGATGGCAACAGGAAGCAATGGAACAGCAATGGAAGAGAGAGGGTCCACTGCCAGCTACCTTCAGTTTGGTAATTGTGCTGTAGCAGGGCATGGGCAGGTGGATGCAGAAGGTTCTGTCTGTAGGACATGGGATAGCAGAGTGGAGATAGCTCTGCCAGACATGGGGAAATGGCAGTGCCTGATTTTGCTGCTGAGGTCACAGCTTCCATTGCTTACACCTCAAATCAAGATACCAGGCCTTTAGAAAAGAGAGATGTCAGCAGCCCTCCTGTTTCAAGAGTCTTTTATCTTCCGTGTGTGTTTTAAACAGTTTAAACACTGTTTTAAACAGTTTAAACACTATTTTGCATGAACACCAACCCTAGAGTCACTGCTGTTTGTAGCGCCCAAAGACACTGAACCAGACCTGTCAGATGTGATTAGGAAGAGCAAGGGCTCCACAGGGCACTGTGGCTTAAGGACATTTTGTGTTCTTGTTCAGGTAGTGGTGTCACTCAAGTGTGCACATGGCACACATCCTATGCCAGCTGATGCACTGTTTCCTTTAGCATGAACTCATGGTACCTCTTTGCTGAGCAATTCATTCCTCCTTCAAAGTGAAAGTTCCTCACAGTGTGTAACCTGAAGTGGACTCAAGACACACATCTCTGCCTCGGTATCTAAGCATCCTAAACGAGTAGGCAGACACCTGCAGAAGGTAGTTCATCATGCCTGGCAGCCTCTTTCCTCCCTCCCAGAGCAGCTGCTTCCCCATGGGGAGCCGAAGCCATTGCACTGAAATCAGAGATGCAAGGTCTGTGGCTCTTAATGTTTCCGTGGAGTTGACAACCCCCCTTGAGATCACACCCACGCTGTTGTTGTATCAGCCTAGCTTCAGGAAGCTTGCAGTGCTGGGAAATGGTGCCGTCTGGGCAGACAAAGGGGACACGGCATGGTGCAGGACCACGGCTTCGTAGCGAAGGGAGAGAGGTATGTGTCACATGCCAACCAAACTGTCAGCCCAAGCCCAAGGAGGTCGCTGGTATTCAGGAACTAGCTGTCGATCATCTGGGGAAAGAATGTTACATACAGGATCGTGCTTTGTTTAATTTTCTGAGTACCTGCAAACAGAGCTGGTTAAAGGCTCCCTCTTCTGTTTCTGGCTGTTATTGCACACTCTTTAACAAACTAGACAAGACAAAACAAAAGACAATCCCGTTTCCGTGCGCTGTGCTTTATTTTGTAATTCCCCATTTCAAAATACACATACATATCTGATGTAAGAGAAGAAGAAGGACTTAACAGATGATATTAAATATCCCTGATAGGTTTGGGATCAGAGAAGCAGGTTGCTGGGGACATATGGGGCTCCTGGAGTGTAACTTTCAAAGCAGAATGTTCTCACAAAATCTTTCAATCTCCTTTGTATTTTCTTGGATTTGAAACACTGCTAAAACCAAATCTTCAAAGCATAAGATTATCTGAGCAAGAAGAGATGTTTTTGTCTAAATCTTGCAATTCCCAGATTTCTGGAATAGTATGGCATGCAGAAGTTTATTGTCAGTGATAGTTGATTTCTGTCTTTATTTCCAGAGCATCTGAGCCCGTGTGAAGCTTTCCATTGTGGAAATGTTGCTTCATCTGCAACTTCTACCTGTAACTTAATGCATAGTTACCGTGGTCATTGTAGTTACAAATAACTTCATGTTGCTGAGAGTGGTGGCTGAGGCTGCTTCACAAGAGTGGACTCAAGAAAAGGAATGTACTCCTTAAGTAAGAAATCAATCTTTGAGCAAAAGCAGAGCCTTATATGTACTTGGTTTTGCTAGACCATCTATCTGATATAGGTTGGATATTAGGAAAGAGTTTTTTGTGTAAGGAATGATAAAGTACTGGAACTGTCTGCCTGGGGTGGTGGTGGAGTCACCATCTCTGGATGTGTTATAAAAAGACTGGATGTGGCACTCAATGCCATGGTCTAGCTGAGGTGTTAAGGCATGGGCTGGACTCAGCGACCTTGAGAGTCTCTTCCAGCCTAGTGATTCTGTGGTTCTGTGTGAGTCTGTGATTCCTCGGTGAGGAATTGTGATACTCTTTCAAGATTCTGCAAGTCCTTGTCTCTTTGATATCATGTGGGCTGGGATATGTTTCTTAAGCTGCAACCTATTGTGTCAGGTGAGTCAGGAACAACTGGGACTGCTGGACTTGTCCCATTAGTGGGATTGCATCATTAGAGGAAATGAGAGCATCTGCCTCTCGTTTTACTGAAGACTTTTGTTGGCAGCAGCCTGAAGAATGAAGAATGAGGAAAGCCTGGGCTCAGTTGCCTGACAAAAAAATACATACTTTGTTATATCATTTAGGAACTTCCCACAGATCAGCAACATCTGTAATTGATTGAAAAGTTCCTTGAGTGGCATAATTTTACATACAATCCCTACAATAAAAGGCATCAGTGCCTGTTATTGTTCAATGACCACTAGAAGATACAACACATGTAATTAATAAAGGTGCCATAATTAGAGATCTGTAGAATTAAGGCAGCAGTCACTACTGATAAAATACTAGTTTCTGACATACTTCTGCCAGAGTATGCCTCCAAGGAATCTTAACAACCTCAGGTATTTGAGATTGCTTATTTTTATAAGCAATAAGGATAAATAAATAAAATAAGGATACTTTCACTTTTGTACCAAAAGGAACATATTTAAATATCCAACTCATCACAATAGAAAGAAGATAGTAGCATAAATTTGCTCCTGCAAACCCACCAGCCTCTTACATCTGCCAATTACCCCAAGAAACCAGAATGTTCTAGAAAAAGAGAACAAGTAGGGATAGTGATATCCTCAAGCTTTTTAATTCAGGAATGGTAGTGCTTTGTATCATCAAAAGTACACCTAAAACCTCATTTAACACTAGTCTCTGCATATGTGTCAGTGTATTATCCTGCTTTCATTGGAAATAACAGAGTGACAATGAACTTTAAAACAACCTTTAAATGATGACAAAAGAGCTAGTTTGGAAAAGACTTTCCATTCAGGTAAAATCTAAAATCACTGGAAAAAAGGAAAAAAAAAACAAACCACCAAAACAAACAAACAAACAAACAAACAAAAAACCAAAAACACAAAAAACCAAACCAAACCAAAAACAAAAAAAACAATCTTGCAGGGGAACTAAAAGCATCAATTTTTAAATGTTGCACATAATATTACTCACTGATGCTCTCTTTTTCAATGCTCAGGGACTCTGATATTTTCAAATATCTGAAAAGCAAACAACAGAAATTCATATGAATCTGATGATGAAGGAATTTCTGTTCAGAGTGATATATGCTTCTTAGAAGATACAAAATGTTATTAAACTCTCAGGTATAACAGCTGAGATGTGGAGAACTTACTGCAAACTACTGAGAGTTTGAATGCAACCTGTACAATGTCTTCTAGTTAAGAAAGAATTTAAACAGTGTTATGTCACTCTTTAAAGTAAAGAGAATATTCATTGATAAAAGGTGTAACACTGTTCAGCATGGCAGGGAGGAGATGAGGAGGAGGCTGTGAATGTAACTCAAGCTTTTTCAAGGCTTTGTAATGCAAGTACTTGGGAAATGGAACAAGAGCAATAAAACATAACATCCTTTCAGAAGGCAATAGAGCAAAGAATTTGTGGATGACTGCTCTGTTTTCTACAACAGACATGATGTCTTATTTTAGTGGGACATAGACAGTGCACATTTCAGTGTAATTTCTTGGTAGGCTTTCTGTCCTTCAAAACTCTTACTCACCCATTTTAACTCACTTTGGTGATTTTATTTCCCCTTTTTCACAAATTTTGATGATATATTTTAACCATGATGTGTATTGGTTGAGTAATAGTTCTGCAATCACCTGTGTTTGCTTCATCTCTTCCAACATCTGTGTCTTTGGTTTTATTCACTGAAGGTGG